ATTGTGCAAATTCCTCAGCCTTCCCCGCCAGGGGGTCCCCCCCCCTCAATTGAAGGAGGGAGCGGGTCACCCTGAAGAGGGAGGCCGGGCGGTTATCTGATGACGCAATGAGGGTGGAGTAGTAATTAGACCTCGCCACCCTCATCGCCACAAGGTAGGATCTAACATGCATCCTTACCTGTGTTCGGTCGGATTCGGTACGGGTAACCCTCCAACTGCTCTCTAGGCGTCTTTTCCGGCGTTTCATCTCTCTCAGCTCCTCGGTAAACCAAGGAGCTAGTTGAGATCTACGTCGGGTCAGAGGCCGCATTGCTTATAAAATGAAGTATTCTATTTATAAAATTAACTGATTTCCTTTGCACATGCAAACCACTTACACACAGATACATGCAAGCTACATACACATATTCCACTCTTCCTTTCCAGCAAAAAATTAAAAAAAAAAAAAAAAACCAGGATGGAGATGGGTTAGGAAACACAGCAGCTCCCCTGGGAAGACAGAGAAAAAGGAACAACGACAGAAATAACAGAATGAAATAAACAGAAACCTACGTAAGTACCAAAACGACTGAGTTCATCAGGCAAGAAATCTGACAGGCAGCAACTAAATCTTTAGACTGATCTAATAGTTCAAATCACCCAGGTCCTCTGTAGATCTGCAAACTACAAGTCCAGAAACGTGCTACTGTAATCCATCCCTGACTTAACACATATAATTGAAATTCAAAGGTCTCAACTTTTGCATTTCTGCAGCCTGTGCAGCTGGGAAATCTTCAGTGGCTACTATTCCCAGGAAGTACTGTCTCCTCGCTTCCTGTATTCATGTAATGTTCTTTGATGAGTTTACAGCTATAGCTAATCACCTTTCTCAAAGTCCTACTCTTCAACAGCACTTAAACTAGGGCTGCATCTAAGCTGTACAAATCTGAATAACTAATAGATGGTGGCCAGGAGTCCCATAAATCCTGACTCTGCTTCTTAATAGCAATGTTTTTTTTTAAATGTTCCGTTTGTTGATGCTACCACAGGAAAAACACCCAGTGCATGGATGATCTACAGCAGGGGTGTCAAACTGCTGGCCCATGGGCTGGATACATCATGCCAAAACCATGTCCATCCCATTGCTGGCAATGGAAAAAAAGTTGTGATATGTCGCAACATGTCACATGACGTTGCGAGTTTGACGCCCTTGATCTACAGTATTCAATCTTCTTGTGATACTTAGTAATGCAAAGAAAGCACTCTGCTGATGATTAAAGATACTTCAGTTTATTGTTTCATATCCTACTAGAAACAAATATTGGACTTTTAAATGGATTCAAAGTGATTACTACAAATCAATCAATCAGAATAGAGTTGGAAGGGACCTTGGAGGTCTTCTAGTCCAACTCCCTGCTCAAGCAGGAGATCCTATACCATTTCAGACAAGTGACTGTCCAGTCTCTTCTTAAAAACCTCTACTGATAAAGCATCCGCAACTTCTGAAGGCAAGTTGTTCCACTGGTTAATTGTCCTCACTGTTAGGAAGTTTCTCCTTAATTCCAGGTTGCTTCTCTCTTTGATCAGTTTCCAAGCATTGTTTCTTGTCCTGCCCTCTGGTGCTTTGGAAAATAAGTTGACCCCCTCCTCCTGTTTGTGGCAACCTCTCAAATACTGGACTAGTGCTATCATGTCCCCCCTAGTCCTTTTCTCTAGACTAGCCAAACCCAAATCCTTTATATGTTTATGAAGTAAAAGGTTCTTTCAGGGTTCTGTCTGCTAGGCAAATTCAGAAATCTGTAGTTAAGTAAACTGGGCAACATATGGCCTAGGGGAAAACTTTTAGAGGGGGTTTTAATTATAATTTTAATTAGACCAATTATGAATATTTCCCTTTTAATTAACTTTTAAATTTGTAGTTGATATTTTTGTATTTTTGTATTTTTATCCGGTTGTTAGCCGCCCTGAGTCCGCATAAAAAACATATATATATATATATATATATATATATATATATATATATATATATATATATATATATATATATATATATATATATATATATATATATATACACACACACACACACACACAATGTGTATTCTCAAAAACACCTGTCTCTGAGCCATGGGTTACATGCAGTGGACAGATCCCATGGCCATGTAAGCCACTCAGAGTTGTTCTGAACTAAGGTGGCCTTAAATCTAATAATGTATTTTTTTTTAAATCTTCATTGCCGAGTTGAAATGCTATCTATCCACCGTAAGTTGGCAAAACAGAATACCAGAATAAGTCTTCTGTTGCTTCTCTTTCCAGTAATGTATTTTGGAAGAGATGATATCTGAATAGGGTAGAAAACACTGATACTAACATACTATTAGAATCTCCATAGACTAATACTAACATAACTAAGGACGACTTAAGCCTGCGTTTTTAATGACTGGGAACTAGACAAAGGTAACCCTCAAAGACACACAGCAGAAAGATATAGCCAGGACATGTTTATGTGAGTTAGGTGTAGTCGACTTGCAAGAGTTCATTTAGTGACCGTTCCAAGTTACAACGGCACTGACAAAAGTGACTTATGACCATTTTTCACACTTACAACCATTGCAACATCCCCTTGGTCAAGTCATGAAAATTCAGACGTTTGGCAACTGACTCATATTTATGAGGGTTGCAGTGTCCAGAGATCAGATGATGACCTTTTGTGACCTTCTGATGAGCAAAGCCAATGGGGAAGCCAAATTCCCATAACAACCGTGTCACTAACTTAATAACTGGAGTGATTCATTTAACAGCTGTGGCAAGAAAGGACGTAAAATGGGGCAAAGCTCACTTAACAAATGTTTCACTTAGCCACGGAAACGTTGGGCTCAATTGTGGTCGTAAGGGTGCATGTATAGGATTATCATGGCTTATTCTATTAATCCAGTTTCAACACACAAAAAACTAGGGCTCGGGAAAGTCTGCAGACCAAACAAAACATTCAGCCTATCAGCCCGATGCCTGGAGGCCGTGAGGGTCTGGATGGGGAGGAACAGACTCAGACTCAACCCGTCCAAGACCGAGTGGCTGTGGCTTCCAGCGCCTCGGCATAGTCAGCTGATTCCATCGCTGACTATAGGGGGCGAAACTTTGGCCCCCTCAGATCGGGTCCGCAACTTGGGTGTTCTCCTGGATTCACGGTTGACATTGGNAAACCATTTACCAATAGCGTTTGCATCTTTCTTCAACTTTTCCCCAAGCTTTTGATTATGAAGATGAAGATCAGCCAGCTGAATCCCAAGTTTTTCTGCCTGTCTAAAAAGTCAGAACAAATTATTCTTATCAGCTAGTGCCAAATTAACAGCCTGAACAAGAATTTGGTTTTTGTTCAAATGACAATGGGTATTGTTACTATCCTGGTACTTGCTGGATCTTCCACTGAGGATGTATATCTTAATCTGACTGTAGTGTTACTTCAAACTTTGATTATAGTACTGTTAGTAGTTTTCAATATTTTTAATAAAATGTTATATATTTTCATAACAGGGCACTCAAAAGTAATTCATTATTTGATTAATTTACTACTACTATTTTCTCTACTATATAAAAGCTTTAAAAATGCTGGCATAACTTGGGTACAGATCACCCCATATATTCTGGTTCCTTAATATTATAATAATAATAATGATAATAATAATGATGATAAAGTTGGAAGGGACCTTGGAGGTCATCTAGTCCAACCCCCTGCTCAGGCAGGAAACCCTATACCATTTTGGACAAATGGCTGTCCAGTTTCTTCTTAAAAACTTCCAGTGTTGGTGCATTCACCGCTTCTGGAGGCAAATTGTTCCACTGGTTAATTGTTCTAACTGTCAGGAAGTTTCTCCTTAGTTCTAGGTTGCTTCTCTCTTTGGTTAGTTTCCACCCATTGCTCCTTGTCCTGCCTTCAGGCGCTTTGGAAAATAGCTTGACTCCCTCTTCTTTGTGGCAGCCCCTGAGATATTGGAACACTGCTATTATGTCCCCCTGCCTTTTAGGTCAGATTTCACAAACTTCAATGGATCAACTGTAGCGATCAGCAATTCAGGCCTGCTGGACTTCCTGGCAGGGAACTGCCAAAGCTTAGGCCTTCTTAGGCTATATGACTTCACAGCCACACCTCCCTGCCCCTTGTTTATTCTTTATCCAAGTATGAAAACCTCCTGAGAATCTAGAATATGTCCAATATTTGCTTACTTTTCAGTTAACTATTGAACTGAGAGTGCACACAGTACTCCCATGTTTAACTTAGCCTTGGTTTAATCAATTAACCCAATTTTCTTTGTTCCCACAATGAACTGTAAATTTACCATAAGAGATAGATCTGTCTCAAGGTAAACTAAATTGTAGCAGCCTAATCTGTGACTCATGGAATCATACAAGCACAGCCTAAAGCTGGTTTAGGTCCATCTTATTTTTAAAATATCATACATTTTGTCCTCATAACTTTACCTATTGAGACTTCTCATGTCCAAGTGCTCCATCACAAATAAAGCACCACCTTCTGGCAAATCAATAACTTTGATAGGTTTAGGAACTTTCACAGTCTGTGTTTGCAGAATAGCAGCTAAACTTGCCATTTCTCCATCAAACATTCTTCTGGCCTATCAAGCACAATAAGAAAAACCTATTAAAATATTTCTCCTGTATTGAATAGTAGCCCTTTTCAGTGATCTACATTTTAAAAAATAATACAGTAACCTCCTCACAAATTATTTATTTTATTCAGAATAAATATAAATGTCATATTGTACAGTTCACATTTCTTTATGACCCTCCTGCCAAATTACACTAAAGAGATGGACTAAGTTTTAAAACTGAATGTTTATTTATTAAATGGAACATTTCTGTATAACACAGAAAAAGACAACTTTGTGGAAACATAACCACTCAAAATAGGTAGTTCTAACAAACGAAGAATATTCCACCATTCTTATTTATGAATCGTTATAACATACCAGGTTTTAAAACAACATCTCTACCTGTTTTATACAAGTAAGTTTAGTTACCATAGTACAATATTATATCTTTGTTCAGTGTGTGAGACTTCAAATTGAAAAGATAACCCAAAAGCTACAAAATGGTACACAATCCTTTAAATATATATATTTACTAATGATGATCCTGCAGGTTTTGGACATGCTCTCCTTCACATCTTCAAAGCTGACATTTCTCATAATGTTATTTCATTCACGCAACCAGACCTTCTATTTTTTGCTATATTATTTCATTTTACATGCTAATCCACAAGTATAGGAACTTCATTAAATTATTCCCCAATGAATCTCATTTATTAAAATTTATTAAAATCTTGATCAGATTTTACTCAATAGATGATACACAGTAGGGAAACCTACTGTATTCCCAATTCTTCAAGCTTACCATACAAGAACGTGTTCTGCTCACATTCTATTCATTTCTCTATAAGCCAAAAGAAATATTATTTTAAATTTAATAAGATCCTTTACAAAAGCAAGAGTGGACAGAATAAAATAAACACAGACAAAATCATGTGTAAATGCCTTGGAAATTTTGGGAGGGCAACTTCAACAAAAATACAGCTGGAGATTTCTCCCCATCTTATTAATGTGTACAAGAATCATACTTGTATATCTGTGTGTGTATGTGCATGTGTATGTGTGTGCATGCATATGTATATACATCATGTCTAATGCTAGAAAGAACTAGTTTGGTATATGATTAAGGCACCAAGCTAGAAACCAGGAGGTTGTGATTTCTAGTCCTGCCTCAGGCACAAAGCCAACTGAGTGACCTTGGGAAGAAGACAATGACAAAGCACTTCTGAAAAACCTTGCCTGACTAGAGACTATAGTCAACAAAAGTCAAAGAACTGACTCAAAGGTTTGTATAAACAGATGCCAGAAGTTACACTCAAAAAATAAGGAAAAAATAAGTCATTTACTGGAATGGAATTAACTACTCATTAAAATTAATTGCTTATAAAATGAAGTATTCTATTTATAAAATTAACTGATTTCCTTTGCACATGCAAACCACTTACACACAGATACATGCAAGCTACATACACATATTCCACTCTTCCTTTCCAGCAAAAAATTAAAAAAAAATAAAAACCAGGATGGAGATGGGTTAGGAAACACAGCAGCTCCCCTGGGAAGACAGAGAAAAAGGAACGACAGAAATAACAGAATGAAATAAACGGAAACCTACGTAAGTACCAAAACGACTGAGTTCATCAGGCAAGAAATCTGACAGGCAGCAACTAAATCTTTAGACTGATCTACTAGTTCAAATGACCCAGGTCCTCTGTAGATCTGCAAACTACAAGTCCAGAAACATGCTACTGTAATCCATCCCTGACTTAACACATATAATTGAAATTCAAAGGTCTCAACTTTTGCATTTCTGCAGCCTGTGCAGCTGGGAAATCTTCAGTGGCTACTATTCCCAGGAAGTACTGTCTCCTCGCTTCCTGTATTCATGTAATGTTCTTTGATGAGTTTACAGCTATAGCTAATCACCTTTCTCAAAGTCCTACTCTTCAACAGCACTTAAACTAGGGCTGCATCTAAGCTGTACAAATCTGAATAACTAATAGATGGTGGCCAGGAGTCCCATAAATCCTGACTCTGCTTCTTAATAGCAATGTTTTTTTTTAAATGTTCCATTTGTTGATGCTACCACAGGAAAAACACCCAGTGCATGGATGATCTACAGCAGGGGTGTCAAACTGCTGGCCCATGGGCTGGATGCATCATGCCAAAACCATGTCCATCCCATTGCTGGCAATGGAAAAAAAGTTGTGATATGTCGCAACACGTCACGTGACGTTGCGAGTTTGACGCCCTTGATCTACAGTATTCAATCTTCTTGTGATACTTAGTAATGCAAAGAAAGCACTCTGCTGATGATTAAAGATACTTCAGTTTATTGTTTCATATCCTACTAGAAACAAATATTGGACTTTTAAATGGATTCAAAGTGATTACTATAAATCAATCAATCAGAATAGAGTTGGAAGGGACCTTGGAGGTCTTCTAGTCCAACTCCCTGCTCAAGCAGGAGATCCTATACCATTTCAGACAAGTGACTGTCCAGTCTCTTCTTAAAAACCTCTACTGATAAAGCATCCGCAACTTCTGAATGCAAGTTGTTCCACTGGTTAATTGTCCTGTTAGGAAGTTTCTCCTGAATTCCAGGTTGCTTCTCTCTTTGATCAGTTTCCAAGCATTGTTTCTTGTCCTGCCCTCTGGTGCTTTGGAAAATAAGTTGACCCCCTCCTCCTGTTTGTGGCAACCTCTCAAATACTGGACTAGTGCTATCATGTCCCCCCTAGTCCTTTTCTCTAGACTAGCCAAACCCAAATCCTTTATATGTTTATGAAGTAAAAGGTTCTTTCAGGGTTCTGTCTGCTAGGCAAATTCAGAAATCTGTAGTTAAGTAAACTGGGCAACATATACAATGTGTATTCTCAAAAACACCTGTCTCTGAGCCATGGGTTACATGCAGTGGACAGATCCCATGGCCATGTAAGCCACTCAGAGTTGTTCTGAACTAAGGTGGCCTTAAATCTAATAATGTATTTTTTTAAAATCTTCATTGCCGAGTTGAAATGCTATCTATCCACCGTAAGTTGGCAAAACAGTATACCAGAATAAGTCTTCTGTTGCTTCTCTTTCCAGTAATGTATTTTGGAAGAGATGATATCTGAATAGGGTAGAAAACACTGATACTAACATACTATTAGAATCTCCATATACTAATACTAACATAACTAAGGACGACTTAAGCCTGCGTTTTTAATGACTGGGAACTAGACAAAGGTAACCCTCAAAGAGACACAGCAGAAAGATATAGCCAGGACATGTTTATGTGAGTTAGGTGTAGTCGACTTACAAGAGTTCATTTAGTGACCGTTCCAAGTTACAACGGCACTGACAAAAGTGACTTATGACCATTTTTCACACTTACAACCATTGCAACATCCCCTTGGTCAAGTCATGAAAATTCAGACGTTTGGCAACTGACTCATATTTATGAGGGTTGCAGTGTCCAGAGATCAGATGATGACCTTTTGTGACCTTCTGATGGCTCAGAGACAGGTGTTTTTGAGAATACACATTGTATATGTTGCCCAAATTCACTTAACAATCCTGTCACTAACTTAATAACTGGAGTGATTCATTTAATAGCTGTGACAAAAAAGGTCTAAAAATGGGGCAAAACTCACTTAACAAATGTTTCACTTAGCCACGGAAATGTTGGGCTCAATTGTGGTCGTAAGGGTACATGTATAGGATTATCATGGCTTATTCTATTAATCCAGTTTCAACACACAAAAAACTAGGGCCCGGGAAAGTCTGCAGACCAAACAAAACATTCAGCCGATCAATACCTCCCTCCCCCCAACTTTTTTTTTCAGTGCAACCCAGGTCTCCCAACCTGTCCCCTCAGAGCAGTGGTTCTCAACCTGTGGGTCGGGACCCCATTTGGGGTCGATCAACCATTTCACGGGGGTCGCCAAGCAAGGCTGTCCGCCATTTTTTTTGTCCGCCATTTTTTTCCCCTTTTCCGGCGGGTGCCTTACCTCCCTTGGGCTGGGCCAGCTGGTGGTTGGCCTGCTCTGTCTCTGCCACTTGCCAGCTGCGCCTCAGCCGGCGCAGGGGGCGGAACCACGCATGCACGGCGCTCCCGGGCAGGGAAAGTCCTCGACTTATGACCGGTTGGGTAGTCCTTGACTTACGACCGGTTTAGTCCTCGACTTACGACCGGTTGGGGTCGCGGCATTAAAAAGGTTGAGAACCACTGCCTCAGAGGAATGCCTCTCTGTGGTGCTCTTCCCATAGCTTAAGCCAGGGGTAGTCAACCTTGGCTCTTTTATGACTCGTGGACTTCAACTCCCAGAATTCCTGAGCCAGCATGGCTGGCTCAGGAATTCTGGGAGTTGAAGTCCACGAGTCATAAAAGAGCCAAGGTTGACTACCCCTGGCTTAAGCTTTCAAAAGTCGCACAAATCCCCTCGCGTTCTCCCCCTTCCGAGGAAAAGCCTCGCTTGGTGAAGGAGCCTTAGTAGAAAACCTCAGTCCACCAATTAACCACCCGGACTAGGCGCTCCTGTTCCAGCCTAGGATTCCCGCTCTACCCAGTCTGTGTCCTCCCACCTCGGCCTTGTCGTTGCGCTTCACGAAGACCTTCCCGTGGTCAGTGTGGAAACTCTCGCCGTGGCTGATGCAGCCTCCCCCCGAGTATCCCGCAGGCCGAAGCAGCGAGGTGCCAAGTTCTCGCCGCAAAGCCGCCTCCATCGCAGGAGGTTCTGAAAAGCGGGCCCCGCACCGACCCCGCGCCTCTCTACGGATCCCGAGCCACCGGGGAGCCGTTAGCCAAGCCACCCGCCCCGGCAACTGAAGCACAACGGCGATGCCGAGCGCCCGGAAGAGGAACACGCGGCTCGGGGAAAAGGCAGCGCCTCCGAAGGATCCAGCGGCTGCCTGCATCGCTGCAAAGAAAGGAAAGCTGGCCCTGAAGCGTTGCTCCTTGTCTGAATTCGCACTAGGAACCCAGCTTGTATGATTATAATTCGGAAGAAGCCAGAATCTTGAAGTAAACCAAGAAGCCACAGTTAATTTCATCGGTGAACATCTTTTAGGACTTTAAGTGGTCGCACACACACATAATGCTAACTCATGGTTGTTGAATCACCCGTAATATTTCTTTGATTTTCACACTGCGTGTGAATCAAGTCTGAACCAAAGCAAAGCAAGCTTCACTCGGACTTTTTAGTGTATTGTGTGAAACAAGTGAGTTTCCCCTTGTAATTTGGGGTATCCCAGCACCCCCCCTTCTGTATTAAAAACAGATTTAATTTTATTTAAATTTCGGTTTTGCCCTACTAGTCTACATTATTTAAATGATGTACACCAGTGTTTCTTAAATGTAGTCTTAGGACCCCTAAGGGTCCTCCAAGTATCTCTCAGGGTCTGCACTATCAAAATTATTTGCCAGCCTATGCTGAAAAATACAATATTAAAATCTCATCAAACAATCATGAGAAGCAGTAAAGGCAGCAAATGTATAGATTTGAATTCTGAATATGGTAAATATCAATAAATATAACCCATATAAACAAACACTTTTGGGGGACCAACCATAATTTTAAAAAGTAACAAAGGGTCCTGAGAGGAAAGAACCTTAAGAAATACCAGTTTATACAAACCTATCTTTCTATACATTTGTTGCAAAAAATTAAATGCAGAAGAGCCTTTGGATTTCTTTTAAATCTCTGAAAACATATATGCAAGGAACTTAATGCATTTAAGAGTTGTTTTAAATGCTAAACTTGTGTATTAACAATACTGCTTTCCAAAACAGTAACTGAACCCTTAGTGTTCAATGTGCAGAATAAATACTGTAAATCGTTTTCTAAAGGCTTTTACCCTAAAAAAATCTTTTTCATGTTCTCTAGCTGTACATTTTCTTCTCTCTATGGATAAAAGTCCATCAGATATATATATATAGGCTCCAGCCTCCAACTGTGTTTAGACTTCCTACTCTATAGCTCTTTCTATACAGAACACCAAAGAAATCAAAACACAATAACTTATAGTAACATGATGTGAATCCAGCTATGTTTGTTCAGTGAGCCATGCTCAATCCAACCATGACTTACTATGTGAATATAGAGCAGTGTTTCTCAACCTTGGCAGCTTTCAGATGTGTGGACTTCAACTCCCAGAATTCCCTAGCCAGTGATGTTGGCTCAAGAACTCTGGGAGCTGAAGTCCACACATCAGAAAGCTGCCAAGGCTGAGAAACATTGATATAGAGCAAATTTTTTTTAAAAAAATAATATTTTTTAAAAAATCTTACTTGAATTTTTAACAGTTCATTGACTATGATTGAATGACATTTTTCCATGGTTAACCCAATTTGCATGACACACCTAACCACAAAATAACACACAGGCTATGTTTATACAACATACCAGTGCAAATTGTTCTTGAGTAGTTTGTGGTTCAAGTTATGCTGAGAACACAGCTAGTGCAATGATGATAACAGGCTTTATACCATCTCAGTAATGGCTGAGAGATGTAGTGGCCAATATGAAATTGGATGTTCACATTGAAAACCCAGTCATGTCTCTGTTTCCTTTCTCTTGTCATTGAAGTCACCTACCTTCCTTCCTTCTTATCTAAAAAGGTATAACAGATTTTGTACAATATTGGAATAAGAAGAGGAAATAACTCCTCTAACACTAATATAGCTAAGGACAATTTAAGTTTGTTTCTCTCATGGTCTTGGGCCAAGAGTAAAACAGTGTAGAAAGCCAATCTGCCAGGGTAAGGCTAGGTGCAAGTAAAGAAAGGCCCTTTGTGTGCTTATAACATTATATACTGGCAATATCTTCGTAGTGTTGGTAATTGTCCAGAAGACATTGTCATGTGAAAATTAGTAAATGAACATAAATATGTCATTTAAGATAAAAAAAATCATTGGAAATCAACCTAAATGACATCATTTACAAGGGGAAATGCTAATTCTGGATAATTAGAAGCAAATTATAAACAACTCAAGCACAAGCAGTGAATGGCATATTTGCATGTGTCTAAGTTAAGTAATTATGTCTTGTAAATAACGACTTTAAGCAAGAAGCTATAGTATTGAATCATATATAGCAATAGCACTTAGACTTAAATACTTCATAGTGCTTTGCAGCCCTCTCTAAGCAGTTTACAGAGTCAGCATATTTCCCCCACAATCTGGGTCCTCATTTTACCAATCCTTGAGCCATTCAGAATCGAACTCCTGGAGTGAGCAGTGAGTTAGCCTGCGTTACTGCATTATAGCCATTGTGCCACCACGGCTCTATAATGTTTAATATGCAAGAACTTAATAGCAACTGCACATGACCCAGAACAGTCCACAAAGTATCAGGTAACACAAACCATAATTCTCAGATTAGAGAATATAATAATAAGCATCCTGTGTGCTTTTTATTGACCATTTATTGTATCTACATAATTCATGAAATAAATAACTCAATATATTGAACTTCAGACTAATATTTGGAATATATTCCTACACTGCTTTCTCTTTTCCTAATAAGGATGCCTTTCTAGTGCACAGTAATGTTCCAAAGATATCCTAATTGGTCAACCTGCTGTTTAATTAGAGTTTATTTCTGTAGAACAGCTGATTTCCTAGGCTGAAATTATTTGTGAGTCACTAGTTAATATATACATACCAGCTTTAAAAAAAGACAGCAGCTGAGAATTGAAGAAAAGGTAATTGGTATCTGCTGGCTTTAATTTGCTGGTTTTAGATGATTAAACAGAAAAGTCTCTCTTAAGATGTCTGTTGGTATATGTTTATTGACAAATATTTTAGTATTTTCTTTGGTGTTTCTGTATCAAGTTGAAGGCTAGCTCAGGGGTACTTTTTGAAATATTATTTTTTTCCCATTTCTAATGGAAGTTTGTTCAAAAATAGATTTCATTGTATTGTTCCACTGTATAAAAAACTTATTTTTATCATGTAGATTGTTACATGTTAACAATCACAACTGGGCCCAAAGTTTTCTTTGCTAAGCAAGACAAGTGAGTTTTGCCCCATTTTACTTTCTTGCCAAAGTTGTTAAGTGAATCATTGCAGTTGTTAAGGGAATCTGGCTTCTCATTGACTTTGCTTGTCAGAAGCACAGAAAAGGTGATCGCATGACCCCAGGACACTGCAGTTGTCATAAATACATGTGAGTTGCCAATTTTGATCACGTGACCATGGAGATGCTGCAATGGACATAAGCAGACAGTTGCTAAATGAATAATTGTAAGTCGAGTGGTCAGTTAAAATAGTTCTGCTAATTTTTATAAGTGAACTTTGTCATAAGTCCAAAATTCAAAATGGTTATAGGTGCAATCTCTGTCTTCTGGTCTGACGTTTCATCGGGAAGTTTTAATGCTATATCTAAGAGCACCTTTGCCTTTTGATCTCTTACCATATCTATGGACATTATTGTTCACCCTGTATATATATAGCATAGATTTTGTGACATCTTTTATTGTTTCTCCTTGCTCCCCATCTTCATTCAATTATAGTACATCTAGCTGCTGCTTTACTGTACTGAAAGTACTTCTGTCCTGTACCAGTTCTGGCTGCAGTACTGATTAATGCTGGATTGTTACCTTGTGTTACTACAATCTTCTCTCTGGCCCTCATATAATGCCCTGACTCATCATTACAGTTGCTTTTATATCAGCCTAGTAGCCTATGGAGATTCTCAGTCATCCAGGTCATGATTGTCCCAAAGGTGCTTTTTCCAAAGGCAACTGGACTTTTTTTTTTCCCTTGAAGACACTTCGCTTCTCATCCAAGAAGCTTCTTCAGTTCTGAACTGAACTTCTTCAGAACTGAAGAAGCTTCTTGGATGAGAAGTGAAAACTTCAAGGAAAAACCAAAAAAGTCCAATTGCCTTTGGAAAAAGTACCTTTGAGATATCAGCCTAATTAGTATATTAATCCAAGCAATGAAATACCATCTATCATCATTCCCTGCTTTATTTTATGAAGAGCTTCCCTACTGCATACAATTTATTTTTAAAATCTATGTGTAAAGTAGCATACTGGAGAAAAACGTGTTCAATATATATATATTATGGTATTGTAATATTTAAAAGAGTTATATTATGTGATCGTCCAGTTCAGTCCAAGGTCAAGAAGCTAGAAATTTTCTTTGATCCAGTAACGATTAACACTGTTAAACGACATATGACTCCGGTCAGAACTGTCTTCACGCAATGTAATCAAAATGTGGTTTTCGTTGTTTCTGGCTTCATGAAGTGTGCAAACCTCGGCGGTTATTAAAACGAGACTTAACAGTTCACGTTTGCTAATCTTAAATCCCGATAGCATCGTACATTTTAATCTTGCTTCATCGTACTCTTTATTATGCTGAATCCGGATGCAGGACAATCCTATTAACGAGACCTTGAAGTTCGAATCGGACGGAGCCACGAACCGCGTTCCTGTACCTTTTTACAAAACACACACACGCCTCGTCCTCCGAAGTGTAAACCCACCCGTTCCGCATCTCTCCCCCTGTGACAGATAGACGTGCCAGCCAATCCTGAGTAAGAAGTACCCCAGCAACTGAACTGTGGGGCCTCGAGGGGTGGGTCCGCGCTCACCAATAACAAGAGAACTTGGCATTCTGAGGTCCCGCTGTACCAATAGCAGAACCGATGGGCGCGGCCGCAAAATCGGCGCTCCAATGGGAGCAAGGGGTGCAAATTGGTCGGGACAGTGTGACAGAGCTGCGCTCAGGTTGTAGCAACAACAACAGCCACGGCTCCTGCGACAGCAGAACGCTTGAGCCAGCTGCTGTCTTCGAGAGAACCCGACGGCGCCCCGCGCAAAGGTCTCTGAGTTTCCCTCGGTCGCGACTTGTCACAGCGCTGCTCGTTGGCTGTCATGAGAGATTTTTCCCGCTCTCTCCAATTGCGGCGCGTCTAAGCAGCGCGGCGGGTTCTGGGCACGACTCCCGTCGGTTTCTGCTCGCTGCGGGCAGTTCGAGTCAGTGCTGCGCAGCCAGTTTGGGGCGCGCTGCCTTCGATGGCGCCGCTGGAAATTCTCCCTTCCTTGTCTCGGTCCCGGGGACGCCCGTCGCTGTCCCCGTGAGAAGACGCCTCCGCCTCGTCTAATTCTTCTCAGTCGCCTTCTCTTAGCCCCAAGCTTGAGAGTGGTGGTATCGGCAGCCCATCGGGACTCCTCCGCAGGGTGGGCTCGAACATGCCTTTGCTCGCGTGCTGCTACTCCTCATCTTCCTCGGTGGCACAACTGGTGGCTCGGTGCCCGTCGTGGGCGCTGGGAGCTGATTCTCCGCAGAGAGGTGGCGGGTGGGGGGGTTGAGAAGATGAACCACGTGGGCAGCCCCGTGAAAGCTTATGACTTCTTGCTAAAATTCCTCCTGGTGGGGGACAGTGACGTGGGCAAAGGAGAGATACTCGCTAGCCTAGAGGATGGGGCCACTGAATCTCCATATGGATACAACATGGGTAAGTGAAAACGTGAATTGTACAGGTGTTCCACTGCCAGAGCCTGACTCTTGAGTGGGAACCCCTTTTCTTTTACCTTTCTCCAACCCCACCCCAATCTACACCTGTAGATTACATAGGAAGGCGGTGCTCAGGTAGGACTGTCTTGATTACCTGAGTCACCCGTAGCTAGCTTAGCTTCCACACCTTGACAGTCAGCTTAAGACTTGCATGGTAAAAACCTTTCTTCCCAGTTGCCTTGATACCTTTGCTTTAGAAATAAAAATGCTAGCCCATCGATTTCTTGGTGGCTAATTATGCCAATTTACTTTTGTTAAATGGCATTCTTATTACAAAGGCTTCACACATTTCCCTGGTATTGCCATTATCAGGACCAATAAACTGATAGTACTGAAACTGAATTGTTGTCTTTTCCTCCATCTTAAGCTTATTCTTTTCATGCTTTCTTTCCTCCCTGACTTGGCAACAGTAAAAACAATAGGGAACAATGTGGTTTTTTTTTATAACACAGAAAATAATTTAAATTATTTGTAGAAACGTTTTTATCAAGGGGAGGCTCTGGACTTTGGAATTCGATGAAGAAAAAATAGAGACTCTGTCAAACCACAAAATCATGTAATTGGAATGTACTATTTTGGCCACTAAATTAAATCCAAATGAAAACATTTCTGTATAGTCTTTACTTGCATACATCCACTGAAAAAGAATGCATTGCCTTTCTGGGCAATTGGTTCCATTATTAAATTGTTTTTTTACTATCAAAAAGTTTTTCCCCAAAAATTCAGTTGTAATCTGCCATCCTATAACTTAAATCCATTATTCTGTGTTCTGTATTCTGAAAATACACAGAATAAATCTTGATCTTCCTTAGTGAGATCTTTTTTCAGCATACACTGGTTTCCTTTTGGATTATATAAATCTTTTGCTCCTTTTCCTTTTAGCTATTTGAAGATTGTTATCTAGTTTGGTCTTGTTTTTTCAAAACTAACCAGTTCCAATTCCTTCATCTCTCTTCCCATAATACAGTTTGTAATTGCCTGATCTTCCTTGTTGCCCTTCTGTAAACCTGTTCCATTTCATCTGCATCCTTCTTAAACTATGCTTAGGATGCCATACCTGACCAATTTATTTTAAATTGGAAGAATTGCTTCCTGGATTTGGAAACTGTACTTCAGCTGAAGCCATTTAAAATTGTATTTGCATTTTTTGGGTAGCCACATCATTCTGTTGGCTCATAATTTAGTTTAAAATCAACTACCAGTCCAAGATCATTTTCACAAATACTGTAACCAAGCCTAGTAATTATTAATTAATTATTTGCAGATCATTTTTTTAATTAAACTTAAATTCTGCTCATTTCATTGTGTTCTTTACAATTTCCCGCATAACCTGTTTTTGGAGAACTTTGTGCCAAACTAATAGTTCAATAGTTCTGCACTTTTTTTTTGTACCTGGTGCATTCTGCTGTTTTCTCTGAGCAGGTGGTATCTATGTTTTTTCTTTATTTGAAGTTCTCCAAATAGGCCACTGTTGTTGTTCTTCCCATCCTTCATTAACCTCAGCTAATTCTGAGCTTTAGCTTCTTGACTTCATATATGGTTCCAATATAACCTCCTGTACTTTTTCTTGGTGATTTGTTCTTTTTTCCATCGTTTGTTTCTTGTTTTATTTTCAGACCTTCACTAAGCTTTTTTGTAACCCCTTTGTCCTTTTCCATTGCCCTCCAATTTTTTTCTACTGCGATTGTAGTTGTACATTTTTAAAGAAAACCTATCTTTTCATGCCACAAAATCCTAGTTATTATTATTGGTTTGAGGGCTGCCCTTGAAGACACTCAGAAGTTACAAAACTGTTCCAAAATGCAGCAGTGCTCCCAGGATTGGGCTCGCCGAAGTTCACCCATGTCATACCTTTATTGTGCAAGCTACACTGGTTGTTTTCTTCCAGGTGAAATTCAGAATACAGGTTGTCACTTTTAAAGCCTTACATGGCACAGGACCTGGTTATTAGCAGGACTGCCTCTCCTTAAGAATATCTGCCAATCCCAGATCAGACAGGGTGGGAACACTCCAGGTCCCCTCTTTGAAATCTTGCCACTTAATTGTACTTTCAAGGTATGTATTTATGTGGCTGCCCATATCTTGTGGAATACCCTTCTGCCAGGATATAGGACTTCTAGCCTTTCTGCAGGCCATTAAGACCTGCTTTTTACTGAGATGTTCAGATTATATAGGTAGAAAGTATGGAAGGAGGACAGCTAAGCATGCTGTAGAGCATCCCAAGGGGGGCAATTACAGCACAAGGTTTTTGTTTCATTTTTTCACTGCTTTTATTGTTTTATCATTTATTGGTTTTATTATTGTGAGTTACCCAGTTGTTCAAGATGGGTGGCCATATAAATCTTCTAAATAGATGAATAAATAAATCAGAATCTAGGTTTTTGGTTTTTTTTTAAAAAAAGTCTAGCTACATGTTTGCTCAACTTTGGTTTCCTTTAAAATTGGTAACTCCAGTACCATATTGTCACTTTCCCTCAACCTTTCCTCTAATTATTTAATGGCTTTTCTAACTTTTTCCAATTTAAAGTGCTTTCCAACCATCCTTGAATTGGCAGAAAATTAGAAAAACGTGAAAACTGCTGCCCCCACAGCCTATCTCTATTGCCTGACTCACTGAAAAATGTTGCCATCTTTATTGTGTATGCCGTGTCGCATAAGCAAAGCAACTGAATTCTCTGATTTTAGTGTTCTCCCTCTTCTGCACGTAACCAGCTAGGAAGAAAAGCATTCCCTAATCACGGCACTACGGCAGAGCTGGAGAAGGTTTGATTGCTGGATTCTGTCTGCTCATCTCTAGATTCCATCCTCTTGTCTTAATCTCCATTCTGTTGTAATCCCAGCTGAATAAATTTTAAACCGGTTGAATTTCAGGGAACTGAGTCCCATGCAATATATCTCTCGTCTCTCTTTCTTTGCATGGGGAACAAAAGCCATTTCCAAGTTTCTCTATATTCTAGCCAGGAAATAACAGGGGGATGGGTCCATCTTCATTATTCTAGTTCAGTGTTGCACTAACCTGGTGAAGCTGTAGAATCATTTACAGAACTGTTGGGTGGTTTGCTGTTAGAACAGTTTTGATAGCCTCTGGCACAAAATTGCTATGTTTAGCACTTTGGAAAGACAAGAGCAAAACGACAGTAGATCAAGCTAACCAGGGCTTGAAGAAAAGGTGACATACTCGCATCAGCCTGAAATGGCCAGTAAGCACCATTATTGGCCATGTGACTTTGCCTTGAGTGTTATGAGTGGAGAAGCTTAACAGATATTACACACCTTGCGGCTGTTACGAGATGCTGTCAATTCCAGAGGCAAACATTGCTTTTTAACCACTGTATAGCTAAGGATAACTTATGCTGTCTCATTCATGGGCTGAGGTGACAGTAGTGTTGTTTAGGTCAGAACAGAAAAAAACATCACAGTGCATTTTTGTGCCATGGTTAGCAGCAAATAAAGACACTGTGTAAGTCTTCCCAGTTTATTAAAAAAATGTCAGCAAGACAAATTAGGAATTTCCTAGAAGATCCATGCTTTGCAGAGTTTACCTATGTTAATCTAAGTATATATGATAGTTTTCTTTGCCAGGAAATCGAGTTTATTTCCCCTGTGCTTATCAGTGTGTTTAGACAATAAAGCCAATGAAGCCAATATTCTTTCTGCTTTTCTCTAAGAGGCTTAACAGACAACATTACAGCCACATTCCCTAATCCTTCTACAGTGTGAAAGTCTATATGTGAAGCTCTTAGTTCAGGGATTTTATTTCCAGCCTCCTGGAATTCAATTTAAAGCTCTCCTGATCAAGTTCAGAACGTTTCTGCCAAATACATTTTACCAGTTCTGGTAAGGTGCTATTTACAATACTCAGTAGCAGATGATCCTGGGGGCAAAATCTCTCCCAACATCATTATTATAATACCCAGTCATTTTATTTGAAATGTATATACTGTTTTAGCTAAGTAAAAATAGCTATATGGGGGGTTCTTTGTCTGATGTATTTCTGATTAATTGTTAGAAATGTTATAATGCTTGTATCCCTGAAATAAATAAATTTTACATGCACACTAAATAGTAAGGAGAGGGGAGATAAACATCTTGCTCTACATTCAGTCCTGAAGAAATGAATTATTTATCTATTCTGGTTCTTGGTTCCCTAACAGCAAACCAAAGAACAATTTTAGAAAGTTGCTTTTATTAAACAAGGAATAATTACAAAGATATTACCAAAACTTGAATACTTCTCCATTCAGTAATGTGATTTTGGCTTATTCACTAAGCTTTACTGTGATATTTGAAACCAGACATTATAATATGTACAGTATGTTTATAATGGCAGGGACAGCCAACCATTTTGCAGCTGGGGAAGTATTTTTTCATTATGTTTGATGTTGGGTGGGCGTAGAGAGTGAACTAATGCTATCGTGTAGAACATTTTTTTTAGATTGCATTTTTTAGGTTTCTGAATTAGCTATTTAAGGTACAATAAGTCTATCCAAACATTATTTGTTTGTTTTTATTTCCACTGAAAATTGTAGAGACATTATTACTAGTGTCTGGTGATTTGCTGTTAAATTTTGGTAGCTGAGCCCCAGTGGCTCAGGAACTACATGCAGTAGTTAGTGCTGTGGGTGAAAAAATCAATATGCTTAGTTCGTCAAGGCACATTAAAACTGTGAATTTTGCATAATGTAGATCTTAAAGCTATCTGTTTTGTTTTATTCAGAATGAGGAATTTACCACAAGCATGTTCTTTTGTCAGCTGACAGAGTAGTACAATACTTTTGTTCTGTACAATTAACCAAGAAGGATAAGAATCAGAATGCTTTTAAAGCAAGTGTAAGGATAAGTATAGTACAAGACTGTAAGAATTCTATCAAGTGTTTCTGAAACACAGATATGCATTGGGTGAATATTTTTGGCATCAGCATTGGAACATTTATTTTTAGT